GGCGTATCCCTGGAACCATTTTAAGGTAAACTTAGAGACTAGATTTTATAATTTCATAATTTTAAGCGGTCTAAATACCTTATTTCGCTTAAAAAATATAGAGCTATAACAAAATGGGCACAGAAATAAAATATAAATTAAATTATTTTTCATATTTGTATAAAAACGTGGGGTGAAACCCCTGGGTATAAGCTAGTGTTGTTATAAACTACTAAATGCCCGGCGTGCTTCAGTTCGCCTTAAAAGTATTTTTGTATTGTGACTCCCTCTGAAAACTCTTATGGCCTCATTCATAAAAGATAAAGTAAATTTAAAGGGTTTTATGATGTGAGGTTTCCAAACACGGTTTCGATTTATGAAGCCTTCATTATTTTTTGAAGGTATTTAGAAAGTCAATAAAGTATTGGCTTTCTCCTGGAAATTTAATTTATAATCTTATAACTCGAGTCTACAAATCCCGCAGTTTCTTTAAAGTTATACTAATTCTCATTGACAGCCCTATTGCAATATTTACTTTATCTTATCAATTTACTTAAACTGCAATTTTCAAACAGGTAACAACTTTAAAATTTTTTCTTCTATATTTTAAGTTAGACCTCTAGCAATACATCGGCGAAAATTGCATTCGATTCCATGAATTAGTTTTCGAGTGATGCGCGTATAAACATACAGACAGACAGACAAACATTCTAAAAGTTGTTTATTTGACTTATGTTGCTCTAATAAAGATCCCATATACATTTTTTCTTTAATATCTAAGTATAATGGACACACATCGGCCTGTTACAATTTTATTATACATATGTATAGATATTATATATGATTCCATGTGCTTTGACACTTAAATTTAAGATTTTTCAAAAAGTGGAGTTAATCGATTTGATAACTTAGGCATTCATTTAGCGCATTTCGTTATGTCTCGTATTTCGTACATACATATATTGCATTTGTCTTCTTTGTTTTGATTACACTCATACTTATGCATGTTTCGTACTTTGGCATGGTATATTCTGCTCTTTCCTCCATTTGCCTTTGTTTATTTTTTGATTTTATTTGTTGCACTCATACTTGTAGAACCAGTATGACAGCCGAGTACTGAGGGGGTGTATTTTTGATAATTTGGCGTTGGAGGTTGTGCGCTATCACGTATTCTAATTGCACTTATGAATGTATGGCTACATGTATGTACATGACAACAATTTTATTGGGGCTAGTATAGATGAGAGCTAAAGCTACTCGCATTCGTCGTGCTTCTATCACTAAATATTACTGTTTTTCTCGTACTGCAATTAATGGGAATGCATTCACTGAGTGAATGCATGCATGCCAAACAATTCGATTTGGTAATCACAAACATTTCCTTGGACGGTAAGTAGAAAGAAGTTTGGGTTTTGCACATGTGCATACATATGTATGTACTTACTTATGTACATATGTATATAAATACATACAAATGTAAATAGATTGTGGCCTTGATCTGACTTATCAAAATCTCAAAAGTGGAGCACATATTTTAATTTTTCGCTTTATTTGTGAATACTGGATTTTCGAGGAGGAAAAACATACCGTATGTAGCGATATGTATGTATGTGTAAACATGTGGGTACCTTTTCGCTTGATTCGTTCTACACCTTAAATTTTTATAAAATAAACATTTATGCTCGCTGTTAAAGACTCTTATACATTTTCATTTTATCATCTAGCTGGTAAAGCCGAAGTTTTGACCATATTTGAATTTCAAAACGCCAGTACTCTATTCGCTGAGGATTGTGAGTTCTAAAATAAAGTCGCGAGCCACCGATCGCTTAAATTTGCATCTCATTTAGTACTGCTCAGTTCAATTTTTTATGTACCTTCATATGTAAGTTCTCACGCTCAATGCATACTTATACTCTTCAACATAAATTTACATTTGTTATTTTTAATGTAGTCTGCACTTGCCATCAGTTATTTTAAATAAAACGTTCGATGAATTTGTATGTTTATACATGGACATGTTTACCCTTTAGGGAACTCGACTAACTACTATAAATGAACTATAAGTTCACTATTTATCAATTAGGGGTGACTACGCCTCGATTACTTTATGTTGCTTTCACTTGACAACTTTTACATGATGATGTCGCAATAAAGTAAGTTTGTTTTCAGCTTACTACGAACCGGTTATTAATAATTTCACTTGTAGTGTGCCAATTAATAGAATGTTTTTGGTACTCTCGGTTTTTAATCTTATATGCATGCTAACTATTTAGTTAGTATGTATTAAGACCTCTAAAGATGTGCTATTAACATACATACATTCATCCATATGTACGTGTGTACATACATATGAGTCAGAATTTCTGAAACGGGCCACTTCAATTATGTGATATCTTATTTTCAGTCAGCAGTGGTATTTTTTCATAGCTATTGACAATGCAAAAAAATTTCTAACTTTTATTTTACAAAAAAAAAAATCATATATATCGATAGGTTAACGTGGTCCAAAGTTATGCGGTAACATATATAAAAAAAATATTCCGACGAATTCATAGGAGGAGGAGGTCCTTTTTGTGAAGTCGGTTAAAATTATAGTTCTTCAATTCATTTATTGAACATATATCTCTAATATTCAGAAAACAAGGAACTCATTAGCATGAAAATATTTGCATATATTGCGGACAATACTCTATACGGAGTATATTTATGTTATCTTTAAATACAACAAACGAAATCGGTTGACATAGTCCTAAGTGACGCGGTTACATAAAAAAGAGAAATATTCCGACGAATTGATAACTCCTCATTTTTTTTAAGCTGTTTAAAAAAGGCTTTAAGAAAATATTCATACAATAAGGCCGTTCATTCTATGGATAAAAGCCGATAGGTGCAGCAGGCATTTGTTTACTATTGTGCTTTGACATTTTGTCGTAACGCATATTAGTTTTACATCAGGATTTCTGTTAGTTAATGTAGGAACTTTAATGCATGTGAAACTGCGTTTTGTTTGTGTAAATAACACGAAGGCACAAAAGCCAGCACTTAAAAATTACTTGTTTTCATATTCATATAGACTTACAAAGAAATTTTCGCACTTGTTCGCTATTTTCCCTTTTTATAATGTATGTAATACTATTTCAAAATCTTACTAAATGAATTGGTTAACTACATAGTTTCTAAGTATTCTTTATTTATATTTCTGTAAGGAATGTTACATTTTCAAGATTAAAACGATTTCTGAGAAGTCATGTATCCCATATCTTTACATATGGCGTGAAAATTGCGTTCAAATTCTAATATTTAACTTTTATGCAATTTTTTCTACCGGGTGTATACATACTTAGTTAATAGTTGTTGTAATGGGAATATAAATGTTTAAGACTATCTTTTAGGCGACCGCATTCTATAACTCACTCTCTTCTTCATGCAGTCTATTATGTTGCATCTACGTACAATTGATTAGATGTGTTCTCTCTTTGTGCTTTAAGTATTTGAACCTAAGTACAAATGTACGGAATAAACAGAAGAAATCGGATTTTATAGCTACCCGCAAAAAAAGGCACGCTAATAAATTTACACATATGAATCCATGAATGTATGTATGGTAATGTACATATGTATGTATGTATGTACTTGCAAGGCCTCTTTTTGCTTTAAGTGTTCTATGACTCTCCCATTCTATATTTATATATATTCTCTCGCGTATGTATTTGTATAGATATGAAATTACATACTTTCATATGTACGTACTTACATACATGGGCGTTCGCAGGTACGAGCGGGGGCGACGGCGCCCCCACCCCTACATTCCAAAGTTTCATTGTAAGATTCATTTTATGAATTCATAATCAATTTCCAATTAAAAAAATGTATGCAATAAATTAAAAGTTTGGGTGTCTTCACATCCATTTCGGTAGTTTTGGTAAACTGCTGGTTGTTCTTCGATAATTTTATCAAATGTGAACGTCCTTTTCAGCTTACCTTTGTTAGTCTGATAAACAGTCATTTACTTAAAAAAAGGTAAAATAATTGTTATCTTTTAATATTTTCTCTTAGTTTGTATTTGAATTTAGGTCTAGGTATGCTTAGCTTTCGCAGAGGCTTTGTAGAAAAAACAAAAAAGGAATCATCACTAAAACAATTTATCGGTTTGCAGAAGACACTCGAAGACTATTGTTTAAAACAAGTAATAATCGGATCTAAACCAAATTAGGGTGGGATCAACCACCTTTCCTTTAAAAAAGAATTATCGAAATCGGTTATGCCGTAACATATGTACATAAAAAAAGTATTCCGACGAATAGATAACCTCCTCCTTTTTTATTCCGTTAAAAATAATGAAAAAAATTATGATTTCGGTGCAAAGACGAAGTCGCATTTAAAATTTGCATGCAATTAAGGTAACAAACAAATTTGTATTTTAACTATTCAATAAGTTCATAAAAAACTTTGTGCAATAAAAATACCTTTGTAGGCCTCGGTGCAACTCAATTGTTACAATAACAAGTAATTTTTAAGCAAAAAACACAACCAGCTTCAATCCTCATATACAAATTTAGAGGTACCGTTATTTTCTTCATGACCCAATGATCGGATCTAAACCAACAAATAATGAGGTAAATTATTATAAATTTTTAATAGCTATAATTTAACAATTCTAATAAAATTTACATTAAAAAGATCTCACTCCCCATAAATTATGCTCTGCGTACGCCTATGCTTACATACGTACATGCATCTTTACATATATACAGCCATTCATAGGTTATTCACTATGTCCAGAAAAACATGTTCAAACTAAAAGTACTGAAGGTTATTCACTATGTCCCGAAAAACATGTTGCAAACTAAAAGTACTGAACAACGTTAAATCTCTTCACATAATTCATACCACTAGTTTGGAATTAAGTTACAATTCTTATGTATGTATGTATGTATGTATGTATGTACAATCATATGTAAATTAACATTTGTGTGGGCATAGATACATACATACATACATATGTACATGAATATATGTACCTATAACTATTTATTCGTGAAGTGCCTAGAAATTTAACGCGTCTTATCGCTATAGACCGGTAAATAGTAACGTATGTACATATGCTGCTACTTTTGGGTGTTGGTTTAGGTTATTATTAAGTATTAGTGGAATTCGCGCTTCTGTGTATTTGCTGTATCCTGCGTAAGTGTAACTGTCCTGCAGAAAATCTGACTAGCCTAGAAGCGAGCGTAGAACTAGACCTTTTGCCCACAGTACCAGTTCTAGCTCAATACCCAAGCAATGCTTTCAACTGTCCAGTTTTACACGGCGATATCATTGGCGGTGGCAATTGTCGCCCATTGCATTACTTTGCAACCAGTTTTTAACCGGTTCCATTTTGGACAGTTTTTTTTATAAGAAAACGTTTTTGCGAATCAATATTTGGACATTTGTTTTCGTTTTTTCTTTTCTTTTACAGATTCCGTTTTTGTTACATATTTTATTAAAAAAAAAATATTGTAAGCTGCACGCAACAATTTAAATTCATTAAATTTGAAAACTCACAACTGCCTCCACCGCGATTTGAACTCGCGACCAAGGATGGTTGAGTCGGAGGTCTTCTCGCTGAGCTACTTTCGTATTGTACGAGTAGTGAGCATTTGCACATATACACCGCAAGTTTCAACTGTCCCGCTCTGCATTCCTCTTGCACTAGTTCAGAGATAGTTCTGAGATATGTAGTTCGGAACTAGCGCTTTGTCAGACTGTCCCTAAATTTTACTGCAGGGTGGTTGAGCGTATGGTTGTTGTTGCATGTGTATTTGATGTACCGCTAGCAACAACAAATCACACGCTCATGCAGTTACAGTTACACAAAATACAACGCATACACAAAAGAGCGAATTCCCCTATTGTTACCCTGCAAAAAACTGTGCGACTAATCTCTAAAGAGAGTATTCCGAGATTACTCTCACTCGGGTGCAATTGGGCATTAATTTGTCCCAACTAGTCTCATACGGGTACTAGTGGAGGTCAATTAGTCTCGACTCATCCCTTATGGGTATAATTGGAGATCAATTAGTCCCCAACTCATCTCTAACGGGTACTATTAACGATTTAATGATATGTACGCACTTAGTCAATGAAATGTCATGTGCGGCGTTGGCACACAGAGAGAGTATTCGCCTAACAAAACTGAGCACCCCGGTTCGAATCTCAGCTGGCGCAAATTTTTATTTTTATTTTTTAAAAGTGACTAGTCGCTTTTAATACCCATTCGGGTATAAAGGTGAACAATTAGTCTCTTCATAGGACATGCTCGAACAAAAGCGATCAGTTCATTCCATATAAAGAGATCAATAGTGGTATTAGTCGCATGCTCCTTTGTGATTGCTCCCGGAGTAATCCCGGATTAGTCCCATTTTTTGCAGGGTATCGTTGAGCTGATTGCATATTTAGCACATACATATGTACATATGTAGCAAACAAACACCTCTTGCTCCTATGAGTATGTTATTTGTTTTACTTCATTGACTTTAAATAACACACTTTTTAAGGCATAATTCAATCTATATTTTGTTACTACTTTAGTGAAAGTCTACGAGTATAGCGCCCCGAATTGTTTTTGAAATTTTTCATCAGCAAACACTTCCGAATACGTATTTGTAAATACAGCACTGTTTATGTATTTTAGTACACATAGACATGCATGGAAGGATGCAGACGAGTGAGGCTGCTAATATTTCGCGCGCGTATTTGGGTTGATAAGAATATGGTTTGTAGTTTTTCTTTTGTCTTATTTATGTATTTACATACAACCGTCTGCGCTTTTGTTTCACACTTTTCATCAGTTAAAGGCAAAGTATCTTTCAAAATCACTTATCGAAAATATTCTACACTAATTTTTAGGTTGCACCGCGACTACCACGTCCGACACCTCTCAACGAATTCTCACAGACTGACTTTAATCTGCGACGTAGACTGCCAGTCAACTACCCCTGGTTGCAAGTCAGACAGCTTAAGCACTCACAATCAGTTACGTTATACACCATACATTTCGATGGTCTTCTGCAATAACAGCACAGCTCGAAACTCAAAAAAACAAAACCCTTACTACTGTTAAGGGCCTCATGGCCCTAGTCCTTGTCTCATCCATGTTTAATCCTTACTGCTTACTTAAATAATCCTTGCTACTTGCTTTGGTAAGGATTATACGTGTATTACACAAGGATTAGAGACATGGGTCACTTAACAGTATTGAGGGTTTTTTTTTTGTTAGTTTTGAGTTGTGTCTTTATTGCAGGGGACTACGGTTTGAACATGTACAAATTTTGTATAAAACACTGAGAACGAGAGAGCAGTGTATTTCTAGAGAATGGTTGTTGTTAAATACAGCACCATTTTATGCTAAGCTACTGTTACATATTAGCTCGTGGCTCTCTCCGGGAACATTTTATTACTATGCACTGTGGGGAATTTGGCAAATTTTTTGGCAAAAATTAACTAAGGCGAAACAAGTAGATGATTTATAAAGACATACGTTTTTTATTGATTGGCATATCATTTCCTCTATTTGTGTAAAATATTATTTAATTACTTTATTGAAAAAGTTTTAATGCAGTTTTTTTCCGAATATATGTATAAAAAAAAAATGTCTATTAGTTATAAAAACTACTTATACAGTGGCTATTTTTGAAAAATATTGCCAAACTCCATTAATTTCAATTGAAAACCTGAAAGTTTTTTTTAAGTCTACATGCAGATGAAAACAAAATAATAAATAACAAAAGTCAAGCTTCGCATTAAACAGCAGTTATTCTCACCAATATGGAAGTTATCAAACCGCGTGTATTTCTGTCATGAAAAACAGCTTCATATATTGCCTACATATAACATATTATTTTGGCGCTTACACATTTGATAAGTGTTTGGCCGAGCTTCTCATCCAATATGTGGTGTACGTTTTCATGTTGGTACACAAATAGAGGGACCTACAGTTTTACCCTAGGGTTTGCCAATTCCTGTCGCTACTAGAAAAAACGTTTGATAATTTAGATGTTGCTCGGACCAGAGATCTGATTCTGTGGAGTGGTAGTATGCACCTCTAACCACTCAGCCACAGTCGCCGGCAATGCAATGAAGTATTCTTTGTTAAATAACAAACATAAAAAACTAATTATTACACATGCGAAAGTGGACTTACATATGTCAAATGTACCATAATGCTATAGGAAACTCCAGACATTTACGGTAAAGCATTAAGATATGTACTACATTTCGCACACGTTCTTTCAAAATGTATTAACTAAAAATTTTCCATTTATCAGAAAACAGAAAAACAAGTAATACATATGAGAGTGATAGATTTTATATCTACTTGCATATGTATTCAGTAAATTACTCGCACCACAAAATGTTGCTTAAAACTCTGCTGGAAGGCAAAACGAGTATTTTTAATGCCTAATATCCAAAATTGCGAATTTTTAGTTAATATAAATTTTTCGTTTAAAAGTACGTCAACACGATAATTTGTGTGTTCTTCAAATTAAGTAATCACAACTACAACGAAGGCAATTCAAAGTACATTCATATGTACACTTTTTAGAAATCAATGAGGCCCCCTTGTCCCGAAGGGTGCTTCATCCCTTTAGTCGGCAAAAAATTTCCTTTCAGGATACATATGGTTTAACCCAAAAGCCCATCCAATCATTCTTCATGTTCTTCTTTTGTCATCATAATTTAGGGATCTGAGCTAAGGATTCAGAAAATAATTTGTCGTACGTTAACTTTCTAATAGCCGGAACACAATGAAAACGACGAGCTATTTACCACAGCTGTCAAATTATTTTTCCACGTATTCTTATGTTAATAATTATTTTGGCGCCGACAGGGCTACGCGACGACTGTGGTTGTGGCCGGAATAGATCTATTTCTATTTTTCCAACGACAAATAAGGTTCTTCCTCTTCTTTTAGGTCAAACTCATGCAAATTTATGATGTCGCTCCGCGTTTAAAAAATTCATGTCACCATCGACAAAGCGTTTAGATAATGAAGATAACAAATTGGAAGCTGTGGCCCGTAGCTTCTGGCAAAATATTTTTTTCATTTTCACTTTTAATTCAACATATTTTGATAAAAAAAAAATACTGATAAAAACAAAATATTTCACACAAACAACAAAAAATATAATCGATAATCGCATGAGGCTATTGCCTGAAAATTTTAGCACTTAGTGGCATTGTGCTACCATGATAGCACGGCCCAGTAATCATAGTCAACTTATGTACAGTATACTGCATCACTCCCCATCCAAAAAAAACATTGGTACTGTTTTCCACTAGAATTATAAAATCTATTACATTTTAAGACTTCCACCAAAATACCTCGCAAAAATATTAAGATTTACGTGAGCTGAACTGATTTGAAAATACCTCCAAAAATTGAGTTTTTTATTAATTATAAGTTTTTTTTAGATTTTTTTTTTTGAATATACCTCAGATTACTAAACAGTTTAAGCTTATAAAGTTTGCATACAAAAATTTAGAAAAATTTTTCTACGGAATCATAATAATGAGATTTTTGATGCTATGTTTGACCTTTTTTCAAAGACTGGTTTAAGAAAAACTTGAATAACTCTGCCAAAACCTTACCAATTTAGACTTATGAGGTATCGTTGGTAAGGTATTTTCTCTCCCTTTTAATTTCTTTGCGAATAAGCTCATTCAAAGCATGAAGAGGAAGGTAAGATAAACGCGTGTAATTCCATGTTGAATTAAGATGTGTTGGTATTTGATAAAAAAAAATTTAGGATGTGAATGAGTTTTTTTGCAAAGAAATAAAGAGGGTGCGAAAATACCTCTCCACTGATACCTCATAAATCTATATCGGTAAAGCAGTTATTCTAGTTTTTCTTACACAAATCTTTGAAAAAAGTTAAAAAACAGCATCAAAAATCTCATTATTATGGTTCCGTAGAAAATTTGTTTTTAATATTTTTATGAAAACTTTTTAAGCTTAAGCTGTTTAGTAATTTGGGGGGATTTTTTCCAGATTTTTG